CCACCGAAGATGCAGAGTAAAAAACTACTGCAGAAAGTGCACTAGTTTCCGGAAACCGCAGGGCAGGGGCCGGCGTCTGATCATGTTTTCACTTGAATTCCGTGGCATCCGGCGCCCGTCCATGTCCCATCGCAAACTGGATGGGTTTTTTTTAGTCTCCACAAGATGCGCACAAACGTCCAATGGCGCATGCACAAACGTCGGTGAGGGGAAAAAACTTCCCGTTTGCCAAAGAAGTGGCGCCTAGCAATTGCCAGTGTGATTACGCCGCTTCTTTGCCGCACTTCAGGATAGCCGTGTGATCGGCACCTAACGGCCTAACCATGGGAACTCGACAGGACGTGTGATCGGGCTGCCACGCTTTACTTTGCTCCAGGGCAAACAGCCACGCTTCCCCCCGCCCCCACGTTTTCCAGCCTGTGTGACCGGGGCCAATGACTGGAATCTAGACCTTGCATGTCACACATTTCCAACACACATAAGAACATAAGAGAAGCCAATGCTGGATCAGGCCAGTGGCCCATTCAGTCCAACACTCTGTCATACATTGGCCAAAAATGCCAGGTGCCATCAGGAGGTCCAGCAGTGGGGCCAGGACACTAAAAGCCCTCCCGCTGTTGCCCCCCCCCCAAGCATCAAGAATAGAGATTCTCTGCTCTGCCAGAAAACCACAGTCCTGCCTAATTCACAATCTCAACTACTGCATTAGTCGGAAGTCAGAATTGGTTTTTGGCCCGGGGGACTTTGCTATTACAAACTGGTGCAAAACCAAACAAAACCCTATGTTTAAGTAGTCTAATCTACCTATTTTATTAAAGACTAGAAATAAGGCCCGTTGTGGAAATAAATACAACGGGATCTAGAAAGAGGCTCTGGGAGAGTGCTCTGGCTTTGGGCAAACAGTGTCAGTCTGCTTTTAAAACATGAACCTGGGACCTGCACCCCACCAGAATACAGCAGGTTCCATATGCAACTGACATTCCAACTGCCTTGCGGGGGGGCCCAGGTTGTCGCAGCAGTTGTGGTGTGGGCGGGACCTGGGCTTTGCCTTCTGATTGGTGGCGATATATGCTGAGGAGCAGTGCCATCAGCCATACACTAAGGGAGTGCATTTTAGAATTAGAACTTTGGCACCCACTATTCAATTATATATAAGGAGAGATACATCCCATAAAGAAGAGTTAAACACCGTAACGTCCAGCGATAACCTTCAGGAAGCTCCCCTCCATCAGATACAAGTAGGAATAGAGATCCTGGAGTCCTTCTATCCCAGTCAGAAGGTGGGAGGGGTGTTGCAAAGAAAGGAGTCCGGATGCAGAGGCACAGTGTGCACTGGAGAAATGCTAATGTGCAGCACCCCTTGGCATTCCGAGTCACCTCTTTCCAGCCCCCTTCCCACCTTCAGATGGGGCCAGAAGGACTCGAGGATCTCCGTTCCTGCTTGTATCTGACGAAGGGAGCTTAAACTCTCAAAAGCGCAGCCCCCCCCCAAAAAAAATCTTATTGGCCTCTAAGCTGGACTGAAGCTCTTGGAGTGTCCCACAATAGACCAGCCCAGCTGCCCTCGGAAACCGGTTCCAGAGGACAGCCTTTCGGGAGCCCCAGCACCTTCCCTCCCAGGAGGTGGAAGGATTCAAAGCACGTGGGATGTGCTCTCGGCGTGCCACTAACGGTGCCACCCCGTGCCGGTTTAATCGGCCGGAAGCCCTTCTGTATTCAAGGGGATTCACTCTCCGGGACTGCAGCCTGAAAGAGGTTAGCTTTTCTTTGGGTTGTGGAAGTTTATAATAGGAGAGAGGTGAAAAGTACTCGGTTCGATACGTCACGACTCGGACCACGACATAAGAAACGCGCGTCTACTCAGTACTTTCACACTTAGGACAACAACAAACGGCCCAGTGGCCAACTATATACATTTCCAAGGGAACACCCCTGGATTCCATTGGGGGGTTTGAATCTCCCGCCAAGGTTTCTATTGGTTCCCCTAGTGGACCTTAGGAGCCTAGTCCCTTTTGTTCTTTTGGGAATCAAGCTCTGCTCGCCTGGCCACTGCCTGATGGCGGTTCCAGGACACAACACGGGGGAAACTCCAGCCTGTCTCCAGAGCTACATATTATGTTCAAGAACATTTACTGAACAGCGTTGGAGTCCAGGGGCACCTTTGAGACCCACAAAGTTTAATTCTGAGTATAAGCTCTCGTGTGCATGCACCTTCAGACCAGCATGGCTACCCATAAGAACATAAGAGGAGCCAATGTTGAATCAAGCCAGTGGCCCATCCAGCCAAACACTCTGGGTCCCACAGTGGCCAAAAATACCAGGTGCCAGAGGTCATTTCGGGGGGAACGTGGGGGATCGCAGTTCCCCAGGGTGAGGTACGGGGGGCGGGGCACATGACGAAGCCCTGCCCCCTGCTTCCGGCCGCCCCGCTTCCGGCCCTCATTCAGCCAGGAGGAGGCAGGAGAAGAGGGAGGGTAAGTTGCTTCCTCCCTGCCTCTCCCCACCCCTGCCTTCCTGGGGCCAAGGAGGGCCTTCGCGGGGCTTCCTTGCACTCCCGCCGGCCTTGCAGGTCCACCGCCGGGCCCCTCATGGGGCTCGGCAGTGGAGCTGCAAGGCCGGCGGCGGCGGCCGGGGCTATTGGGGGCGGGGTGTGTGGCCTTATGACACACTTCCGGTGATGTCAGGGGGTGTGGCATATGCTAATGAGTTATGCTAATGAGTTCCCCTAGCTCTTTTTCTACGAAATGACCCTGCCAGGTGCCATCAGGTGCTACTCAGGTACCCGCCTGAATGTTTACTGAAGACGTTTCCCTCCGTCACCCTCCATCGGCTTCTCAGAAGAAAAGCTGAAGGACAACATTTCGGCTTCTTTTCCTCTCTTCATTTGCCCCCAGACAGCAAGAGAAAAACATCTCTTGTCCTTCTCCAGCAATGAGAGCTCATTAGGAGATGCATGTGCACGCATTCCTGTGCAAACATACACTCACAGGAGGGTTACCAACCTCCTGGTGGAAGCCGGAGCGTTTCCCCAGAATTACAACTGCTTTCCGCACTGCAGAAGTCAGTACCCTTGAAGGAAATGGCAACTTTGGAAGGTGCACTCTACGGCACCACACCCTACCTCCCCTCCCTTCCCTAAACTCTGCCCCCCCATGCACCACCCCCACCTCTCCAGGAATTTCCCAAGCCAGGGCTGGCAGTCCAAACCCCCCCCCCCTAATGGGGATCCTCCTCTCCTGGCTCCTCTCCTCGGGGGAGGATTTTTTAAAAAAACACTGGCGTCAAACGTAGCGTGCCATCTCTTCCAGGGGAACCCAGAAGTGACATCATGCATCTCTAGGCATCACTGAGAACCTCTGTGGTTCACCATAGTTTCCGGCAATTCCTAGAGTAACGCAAAATGTCACATCTGGGTTTCCCCTGGAAGTGACATCATGGCCCATGCCGCACTGGCACCCTAGTGGACGGAGGTGGTGGCAGTCTCCTGTCTAAGAAGAGTAAGGAGGCAGGCAGGGGGCAGGAGGCGGGGGCAGCATGAGTTTTGGGGGCACTGCCCCATTTGCCCCAATGGACCAGTCTTCACGTGGGAGGAGTAATGCTTGTGAGCGCAGAGAACAAGGAATGCCTTAAAAGCACTTCACTGTGAAGAGCGACTAAAAGACCTTGTGCAGCAGTCTCCATGGGCTGAACGACACCTTACAGTTGGCCACAGCCCTTAGAGACACACAGAGGTGCGACTGAGGCATCAGCTGCAAGTTCGATGCTGGGGACCGCCCCCGAGGGCACGGGAGGGGGCTGAGAAGGGGCTCAGCTCACTCCCCACCCCCCATGCCATGCGCTGGAACTCATCCCTACTGTCTCTTTCTCTGCTGTAGAATACATGGGAGATTTCAGAGAACACTCTCCTTTCCCCAGCCCATCTTGAAAGCCTTTCCCCTGAAGCACACACAAGCCCCCATCGTGCCTCTCGGGGGTGGAGGAACTTCTGCCACAAGTTTTTAAGGCGCCAGAAGAGTTTTGTGGCCGTTTTGGCTGCTGCAGAGTAACAGCTCCATCCGAAGCAGAGTCACATTCTTTCAATCCTGTTGCCTTCAGCTCCGCTGAGGATGAAACTGTAGGAGGGTTGCCAACTCCGGGCTGGGAAATTCCTGGAGCCTTTGGGGGGGTGGAGCCTGGGGAGGGCTGAGTCTGTGGAGGGGAAGGACCTCAGCAGGGTGGGATGCTCGAGAGCCCCCCCCCCGCCAAAGCAGCCACTTCCTCCAGGGGAAACCATCATCTCTGCCAACTGGGGAATGGTTATAACTCCGAGAGATCTTCAGACCCTGTAGTAGGTCTACTTCTCTGGACCTCAACACATTGCAGGGCTCCCTCACCAGGGACTCGGAAGCTCCCGTCTGGTTTCCTTCCCAGCATACCAAAGGCCCTGCATGCCCAGTTCAGCGCCACATCCTTGACTTCGTCATTTTTTTAAAAAGTAAGAAACCAGGCTCCCAGTTCTCACATAGCACTGGATCATCAACCACGACAAAGCAGGCGTGGCCTCTGCTCTCGCGTTTAATTCTCCAGGCAGGTACAGAACGGAGTGAGTTCAACAGAGACCTAACATGTCTACGCTTGTCTAGATTCTGTATGCGAATACAAAAGCCACCCTGAGCTCTGCCACCTGAAATAAAGCACGCCAACTTGCATGCAGTTTCTCTTATTTTGAATAATTTATTCCGTAAGATTAGCTGTTTTGCATAATTTATTTTAGCTTGCTAGCCGTGGGGAGCTATATCGCAAACAAGAAAAATGTCATTTATCCATTCCCTGGCTTTCTGACACTGCAGATTTTTTGCACTCCTAAGGGCCAGAAACCTAATCTATTTTTCAAGAAGCGGAAACTCTCAATAAGATGCACGCAGCAACCCGAGTACTTTCTCCTGCCCTCCTCCTGCATTGTGGCACGAACACAGCCTCTGCTGGAGTTCCTAAAGAAAGCCATGGGAGTTGCGTGCTACCTTGCCAGTGGCTCCGTGGGAAACATACTGGGCTCCTTCCTTCTGAGCTATTTCCATCTGCTTCCGGGCAATGCAGGGTCTGGCCAGGGGAGTGCCAAGAAGGTAGCGGTCTTCATAGATGGCGTTGGCTTGGACAGCTGGCCAGATGAATTCTTCCACAAACTCTTGCCTAATATCTTCAATGTAAATCTGAAAACAGAGGCGAGAGGGAGAGGGTTGGATGTAATCCCCTTGTTATTGGAGCTACGGTTGCCAACTGTGGGTTGGGAAATTCCTGGAGATCTGGTGGGTGAAGCCTGGGGAGGGGGGGCCTTCAGCGGGGTAGAATGCCATAAAGTCTGCCTTCCAAAGCAGCCATTTTCTCCAGGTGAGCTGATCTCTGTCCCCTGGAGATTGGTTGTAATAGTGGGGGATCTCCAGCCACCACCTGGAGATTGGCAACCCTAATGCAGAAATAGGTTTCCCACTTCAGCAGTAGCAGCAAGTGGCATGGAAGCACGCGGTAACAGTGTACACACACACACACACACCAGTGTTCCCTCTCAGCCGAGTTAGTGTGAGCTAGCTCACAGTTTTTTAGCCTCCGGCTCACACATTTTTGTCTCAGCTCAGGGAGGAGGGCTCCAAAACAAACTGATTCATGCAGTAGCCAAATCACTTGCTCACAACTTTAATGCCAGCAGCACACAAAATCGCATTTTTGCTCACAAGACCCCACAGCCTAGAGGGAGCCTTGGCTGCCCTCCCCAGTCTCCACTCCACAATCTCACACATTTTTGTCTCAGCTCAGGGAGGAGGGCTCCAAAACAAACTGATTCATGCAGTAGCCAAATCACTTGCTCACAACTTTAATGCCAGCAGCACACAAAATCGCATTTTTGCTCACAAGACCCCAGAGTCTAGAGGGAGCACTGGCACACACCCCTCCCCACTGGCAGCCTCTCACTCCTGCCCCTCCCCCTAGTCCTGCATTCTTCCAGCACTAGCCTTGCCAACCTCCAGGAGGGGCCTGGAATCCTCCTGGGATTACAACTGATCTCCAAACCACAGAGATCAGTTCCACGGTAGCAAATGGCTGCTTTGGAGCATCAGCTCTATGGCACTGCACCATGCTGAGGTCTGTCCCCTCCCCAAACCCCACCTTCCCCCCCACAGTTTGGTGTCGTGGTTAAGAGCAGCAGACTCTAATCTGGAGACCTGGGTTTGATTCCCCATTGTAAACTGCTCTGAGTGAAGGGCGGGGTAAAAATCCAATCTCTTCTCCTCCTCCTCCTCCTCCTCCTCCTCCTAAACCCCACCATCTCCTGGCTCCACCCTCCAAATCTCCTGGAATTTCCCAACCTGGAGTTAGCAACAGAAGCACCTGCCCCTCCCCGGCAACCCCCCTTTCCCCTTCCCAGCTGGGCCAGGGTTTCATAGAGTGCTGTCAAGTGACTTGTGGCAACCCCAGGGGTCATTTCCTGTGGGAGCGCACAGGAGCGGAACTCCGGCAGTAAGGAGCCCAGGGGGCGGGCACATGCAAAAGGCCCCACCCCCTGCTCCCAGCAGCCCTCAGTTGGGCCACGAGGAGCAAGAAGCAGCCAGGTACGTTACAGAGCACCCCCCCTCCTGCCTTCAGGTACAAGCTCTCCCTCCTTTGTGAGGGCAGATCTGCGCGTTCCCCCCCTTCCCAATAGCTAGCAATCCAAAACAGTCCAGTGGAGCCTGAGCGGTGGGTGTTGCCTTCTGACAGACTTCCGGTGATGTCAGGGTGTGTGGCATATGCAAATGAGTTGTGCTAATAAGTTATGCTAATGAGCTCCTGCACCTCTTTTTCTATGAAATGACCCCTGGGCAACTCCATACGTTTTGCAAGGCAAGCGGTTAAGCAGAAGTGGTGTGCTACTGCCTTCCTCTGCAAAGTCTTTTTTAGTGGTCTCCCATTCAAGTGCCAACCCTGCTTAGCTTCCGAGATCGGGCTATAATATACCAATCCACAACCCTGTATGGACCTTAGCAAAGCCCTTTTCAAGGCGGAACTCAGTTGGCTGCAGGCAAAGCATGTTCCTTTGGTGAAGCCCAGACTGGACAGTCCAGGGCTGCTCAGAAGTTCTGCTCAGCAGGAGCACAATGTCTTGTGGACACTCCCCATCTGGGGGGGAGGACTCAATGGAGAAGCAGCCATGAATCAGTAAGTGGAGGTTTTTAGGCACTGTGGTAGGAGCAGACGGCAGTGTCCGGAGCTACTAAAGTGTCCCCGCAAAGGCTCTCATCGTGGGCAAATCAGTTCAACTTGTGGGCTTTTCTGCACTCTCATTTCTGTTGCTTCTAAGTTCCTGTTTCTTTAAGGGGGAGGTTCAGTTCCGCATGTATTTTGCTCCCCCTAATGGTTGATTCAATACTACACCAGCTTATATCTGCAGGGAGGGAGATATGCTGGACATACATTGGAGTATTATCGAATTGACCACTAGAGGGAGCAGAACACATTTGGGACAGACCCCTCCCCTGCCCCGAAGAAACAGGAACTTACAAGAGAGGAAAATGAAAATGCGGGAATGTCCTGAGCCACAAGCACATCTAGGCTGCATTCAGACATCACAATAAAAGTGTGGTTTCTTTAAAGACTGATACCTGCAGTACGTGCCAGTCCATCGACCGGATACTACAGACCCCATGTGTCAGCCTCCTGCCTCCCACCCGTCTCCTAGAAATATCCCCCATACCTTGCCCCCACCTCTGGGGCCAAACAGCCGCAAATTGTGGTTTCAGGCGGGTAGATATGTTGGACTGCAGCAGGCGCACAAGCTCCTGAGAGTCACAACTCCCTTTGTCAGATGTCAAAACAGACCACAAATATGACAAACTGCGGCTAAGAAATCAGCTACAAACCCCATTCTGAAATCCCAGTTTGATGCAAACCAGCAAATCCTGGCTGGTTGACCTGTCTACATTTGAACATCATAAAAAAAAACCCAACCTAGCATGGTTTGATCAAACGGCACTTTACAAACCACAATGTCTGCAGCCCTAGTAGTGTAATGTAGAGTTTTCATAAGGCGTGGGTGAGCTGATCTCCATCTGACATGTTTTTTAATAACCAGAACAGCCTGGTAGACAAAAAAGCTTGACGATTGCAAAGCAAAAGTGCACAGTCAGGATCTCTTTTAACAGATTCAGCATCAAGTGAGCGGTGTTCAATGATCCCAAGTGTGTGCTCATGCGACAAGGACAGGGAACGGTCCAAAGGCACGCCTTGCGGCACCTTTGATGAAAAACAAAGCAGATTTGGGCCTTGTCACTGCCTGGGAACACGGTGCCAATGGAGGAAAAGTGAGACCAAAAGGAAATAAAACGAAATCAGAGCCTTGCGGGATGTGACCAAGCCCAATCCGCCCAGAATCCCTTGGAAGAATCTCACCCAGAAAGGACCAAGTGTGGCCCATCAGGAGGTGGCCAGTGATCTACCGAACTGGCTACTCCTCCTGGCTGCCAAAAACTGTACTTGCAGAATTTAAAACAGATCCAGGTGGGGTAGCCATGACGGTCTGAAGCAACAGAACAAAGTTTCAGTCCCGTGGCATCGTTAAGACCAACAAAGTTTAATTCTGGGTGTCAGCTTTTGTGTGCAGGCACACTTCTTCTGTAACTGGGGGAGAAGTATAGCTGAGATTGGATTAAAGCAGTTGGTAAGACCTGTGAATGACAGCAAATTAGCATATAAATATTATTATTATTATTATTATTATTATTATTATTATATGGGATTTTTACCCCGCCCACCCCCGAAGGGCTCTGGGCGGCTTACAAAGTATCATGTGTGCACACACTTTCTAGAATCCTAACTATGGCCACAAATTCAGGGGGATGGGAACCCTACCAGATACCCTCCGAAGGCTTTTTCCGCAGATGTTCTTGCTTCTCCTTTCGTCTTTTTCCAGGCGGTCACATGCCTCTTCGCGCAGTTCTTTCTTAGAGGGGAGACTTCAGTTAGCTGGCTTCCACAGCGGCCCCTGCTGGCTCGTCGGGTTTGCTGCACGTAGGCGATGGGGATTACGTCCTTCCGGCTCCAATCTCTCCAACGACGCCGCGCCGCTACTGACCTCCGACCAGTCATTGTTCCGGGGGGGCCGTCCCTTCACCGCTGCTTCTGCCGCTGTTTCGCCACCATTGTTGTTACCGGTGCCGCTATTTTCTCTCTGGAGCCACAGTTCTTCCGCTTCTTCTAAGGGAGGGTACCCCCCTGACCGACTAAGGCCAGGTACCCATTTATCTACTCGCCATATAGGGCTTTCGAACAGCTGGGTTGGCTGAAAATACAAGAGTTAATGAACAGACGTGAGAACGACGTTTGAATCCCGTGGCCCTTAGCAGGCAGGTACTTCCGCATCTTGACGCTAACTAACCCTTCCTGGCAACTAACCCCCACCCACCCTCTCCCCACCTATCTGTAAGCTTTGAGGAAAACCATTTCAATGTATCTGAAGAAGTGTGCATGCACAGGGAAGCGTATACCCACATTTCTGGGTGCAAGCAGGGCCCAGTTTGGACTGGGGCTGTGACATGAATGGATAGGGGGAAATAAACCTTCCCCCTGCACAGTTTTCCCTGACCTGAAATGGCCTAGAGGAATTGTCGTGTGCCAAGTTGGGGAACCCCCTCATGGATCACTGCCTTGTCGTGGCGAGGGGGCTTGCGCGGTTCGATGAGGCTGTAGGCTATGCCATGGAGGGCCACCCAAGACGGACAGGCCACAGCAGAGAACTCAAACCAAGTGTGATCCCCTGGAGAAGGAAATGGAAACCCACTCCAGTATCTTTGCCAAGAAAACCCCATGGACAGTATCAAAAGGCTAAAAGATATGACGCCGGAAGATGAGCCCCTCAGGTCGGAAGGTGTCCAATATGCTACTGGGGAAGAGCAGAGGGCAAGTACAAGTAACCCCAGAAAGAGTGAAGCGGCTGGGCCAAAGCCGAAAGG